CTGACCCCTTCCCTCTGTTCTGCTGTTACTCCACGCACCCGCGTTCAATTCAGTGCCCCACATTACAAAGATTCTGCTTGGTTCGCCACCGACGAGAGCAGGAACATCTCTGGGAATTCCAGATGTCTTGCTTCACACTTCCAACAGGGCTATGGAACACCTGAAATCCTGAAGGAACGTCCAGGTCTCCGAATGCTTTGGATGGAAAAACAGAGGAGCTGTTTTGGAAAGCCGGATGCACGGCAGCTCTGGGAAAGGTGCTCGGTTTTGTGAGAGACACAAGTCTCTGCAGCTTTGGGGAGGTATGTGGGGGGCAAAGCAGTAATACTTCCAAGCCCCTTGGGGCTGCTTAAATCCCAAGTACTAGAAGTAATACAGCAACAGTCTTTCTCTCATGACTACCTTTCCTTCTATGTTTTCCTTGGATGAAACGAAGGACAGAATATTTTCAGTCTTAGTCCAAGTCAGCTACAACCTTGGATGAAAATCAAACCAACGTGTCTCCACTTAGATCTCACATAAAAAGTCTACAACGTAATAAATTTTACTGATGTCTACAAAAATATACACACTTTTAAATTAAGTAGTAGTTAAATGATTTATTCTATTATTCTCTATTATCTAACCAAATTAAATTCACATTCAAAATTAAATGATGGCTAGCTCATATTATCGGTAAGAAACATCCCAGTGCTGTTGCTTCGAACTTGGCTATGATGGCAACCTTTGTACACAAACCTGAAAGGAACTTCAGTTACAGGCGTTTCTTAGTGCAGCTGGCAGATCCATGAGACTTTGGTGGGGGGAAAAAAAAAAGAATACGTGGGTCTAGATTCATCAAGATGTGCTTTGGCATTACTCCCGTTTTAAGCTCTAGGATATCGCAGTGTCATCCTGAGTTACAGCCGTGCCCGAAGCAGTCATCTCTGACTGACAACAGCGAAACGCACTGATTCTCAAAATCTCTCCAGACTGGATTTAGTCTGACAAGCGTCAAGTAAGTTAAACTTGCATAATACTTATTATATCACAATCCTTTGAGAACGCCCATGCAGCCCTGCTAGTAAAGTTCTAGTCAAAGCTTCTTCACTTTTCCCTAACATTTTCACTGCTTTTCAACGCAATTGATCCTTCAGGATTCCCAGCCTCAGAACCGCTTGTGTTTGAGCTGTGGAAAGCATTACGCTGAAGAAAAACATTAAAACATATTTAAGTGTGATTACGTGGCAAGAAGCAGTACTCAGAAAAGGTGCAATGGGGGATTTTATGTTTATTATCAGCTGCAGTTCACATCTGCTCTATTCACAAAAAAGGGGGAGGAAAAAGATGTCATTTCTAACTGCTAGTCCTTTAAAATTACCTGGGACTGCACTTGATCTGCTTCTGCATTACCAGAGGTTACCGTAAATTGTAACTCGGTAACTCCACTGCTGTGTGAACCAGCAGCTACAACAAACCCTTCAAACACCTTATCTGCCAGGGACGCAAGCAACAGGAATTGTTCAACAATATACCCTAAATTTCACTTTACTTTTGGCTTTGCAAAGTGGTTATGGAACGGCCTGCTATTTGCATAATCATTTTTTAAATGAACAACTATGCTGTGAGGATTTAAGTCCCAGATGAAAAAAATGAGGACCCGCTATGATCTCCAACGACCCGGCATTTCAGCCTCAGCGACACGCAGAAATGGCAGGCGGCCGGCACGCAGATTGTTTGCAGCGTGCTGCAGCTGGGACGCACCAACCCCAGCACCAACACAGACACGAGCGCTGCGCGCGTCCGCGGGATTTAGGATCAATGAAGTTATTAATCGCCTTACATTCACGGCTAAGTCATAACAAGGAGCTCACAAAGAAATGGCTGCTGTACGCCAAAGACTGTCCGTCTGGGACTTAGAAGTGCAACACAGCTTGCTCCTTCCGCAGGGCCAGGGACAGACCTGCTGCCGTCGCTGCCCCAGTCACCAGAGGCACCGTAAAGATGAGGAGCTGCTGGAGAGAGTCCAGCGGAGGGCTACGAGGATGAGGAGGGGACTGGAGCATCTCCCCTACGAGGAGAGGCTGAGGGAGCTGGGCTTGTTCAGCCTGGAGAAGAGAAGGCTGCGAGGGGACCTTAGAAATGCC